CCGCAGTCAGAACGGTGGGCCCTAAAAAGAATGGTCCTTAGGAAAGACCCGCTCTTAAACCATGTGGAGCTTGAGGGTGTAGAGCCTGGTGGTGCTGAGCCTGCGTGTGAGGGGTCTGGGGGTGCTGAGCTTGGCGGTACTGACGCTGGAGGTTCTGGAGCTACTGAGGGTGCTCGCGCTGGAGGTTCTGGAGTCGCTGGAGGTACTGGTGCTGAGGGTACTGACACCGGAGGTTCTGGAGCCGTTGGGGGTGCGGGCGCTGAGGGTTCTGAGTCTGCTGTTGCGCGGTCTCCTTGGAGTGGCCGCCTTCGTCCCCGTGTGCCTCTCACCCCACAGCAGCTGCAGGACTGGTACGGTCGCCGTCAGCGTCGCGCTGCTGGAGCTCGGAGTCGTGCTGGTCCTTTGTCTACTGGAGGTGCTGGAGTTGCTGGTTCTGGAGGGGCTCGTGCTGGAGACACTGAGGCTGGAGACCCTGGGACTGGAGGTGCTGGCTCTGGGGGTGCTGCTGCTGGAGACACTGAGGTTGGAGACCCTGGAGCTGGAGGTGCTGGTTCTGGGGGTGCTACTGCTGGAGACCCTGCGGTTGGAGACCCTGGGACTGGAGGTGCTGGTTCTGGGGGTGCTGCTGCTGGAGACACAGAGGTTGGAGACCCTGGGACTCGAGGTGTCGGCTCTGGGCCTGGAGCTTCTGGAGCTGCTGGAGGTACTGGAGCTGCTGGAGGTACTGGAGCTGCTGGAGGCACTGGAGCTGCTGGAGCTGCTGGTTCTGGTGCAGCTGCGCCGACACGACTGTTCTTCGCTCCGCCGTCTCCGTCGTCTCTGCCGCCGTCTGCCTCTGTTCTTCGTCAGGTTCTTACTCTTCCGTCGTCTACTGGTCTTCCGTTACAGACTGGCTCGCCGCTGCCTGCTCCTTCTCCTTACGCTGAGCTGACTGGTAGTCCTGCTGTGCGTCGTGAGCCTGCGTCGCGTCCTGTCTCGCCTGCTCGTCCTGGTCGTACCGGTCCTCGTGTTCCTCGTTCGCGTCCGCCGGCTGTCCCCAGCGCACACCTCGTAGTCCGTCGTCCTTCCTCTGTTCCGCAGCCTGTTCCTCTGCCGTCTCCTCCTGCGTCCTCTTTGCCTCACGTTCCGGACCCTGCGTCTGACCGGTTTCGTGCTGAGCACCCTACTGTCACGCGTCTACTAGCCACAGTTGTCACTGACCCGTCGTTTGAGTCTGCTGCTGCGTCTGCTCTTGTCGCTGAGCTTGTTGACTTTGCTGCTGCCTGTCGTCTAGACTTCACTGCCAGTCTTGTTACTGAGTCTGAGTCTGTCTGTCCTCCGTCCGTTGGGGGTGAGTGTGCTCTTAGCACGGACGTCCTTGAGGACAGGCAGGAGGAGTTCCAGTGTCTTGCTGCTGCTTTACCTCATCTTGTGTCCTCGCTACTTGCCCTTGAGGGAGACCCGGATGCACCAGACATCCCGACTCCGCGCTCTTACGCAGAGGCGATAGAGGGTCCCTACTCCTCTCAGTGGCAGGCAGCCATGGACGCAGAGATGGCTTCCTGGAAGTCCACAGGCACCTACGTTGACGAGGTTCCCCCACCTGGGGCGAACATCGTCAGTGGCATGTGGATTTTCAGGGTGAAGCGGCCGCCGGGTTCTCCGCCTGTCTTCAAGGCGCGTTACGTGGCTCGAGGCTTCAGTCAGCGAGAGGGAGTTGACTTCTTCCAGACCTTCTCCCCCACCCCGAAGATGACCACTCTTCGGGTGCTGCTGCACGTTGCTGCTCACCGTGACTACGAGCTTCACTCTCTTGACTTCAGCACAGCTTTCCTGCAGGGCAGCCTGCACGAGGAGATCTGGCTGCGCCGCCCCCCGGGCTTCACTGGGTCGTTCCCTCCTGGTACCCAGTGGAGCCTCCGGCGGCCGGTCTACGGTCTCCGCCAGGCGCCACGTGAGTGGCACGACACACTGAGGACTACGCTTGCGGCTCTTGGGTTTGCGCCTTCTACTGCTGACCCGTCGCTGTTTCTGCGCACCGACACTTCCCTGCCGCCGTTCTACATCCTCGTGTATGTCGACGACTTGGTTTTTGCCACTGCTGACACTGAGGCTCTCACCCACGTGAAGTCGGAGCTGCAGAAGAGACATACGTGCACAGACTTGGGTGAGCTGCGCAGCTACCTTGGCTTGCAGATCACCCGAGACAGAGCACGTCGCACCATCACCTTGACTCAGTCACACATGGTGCAGCAGGTCCTCCAGCGCTTCCGCTTCACCTGGTCTTCAGCACAGGCCACTCCTCTGGCTACAGGTCACACGCTCTCAGCTCCACCTTCGGACGAGTCCGTAGAGCCGAGTGGTCCTTACCCAGAGCTAGTCGGCTGCCTCATGTACCTGATGACTTGCACTCGACCTGACCTCGCATACCCTCTTGGTCTCCTGGCTCGCTACGTGGCTCCTGGTCGGCACCGACCTGAGCACATGGCTGCTGCTAAGAGGGTACTGCGTTACTTGTGCAGCACATCAGGCATGGGGCTAGTGCTTGGAGGGACGAGCCCAGTTGTCCTCACTGGGCACTCAGACGCTTCTTGGGTTGACGACCTGGCTACTCAGCGGTCGTCACAGGGTTACACCTTCAGCCTTGGCTCTGGTTCAGTTTCGTGGCGTTCTACACGCTCGACTTCAGTTCTCGGCTCCAGTTGTGAGGCTGAGATCTACGCCACCGCCATGGCTGCACAGGAGTTACGCTGGCTCACCTACCTGCTGACTGACTTGGGAGAGCAGCCTCGTTCTCCTCCAGTGCTGTACGTTGACAACAAGGCCGCCATTGCCTTGTGTGAGGAGCACAGACTGGAGCACAGAACGAAGCACATTGCTCTGCGGTACTTCCTGGCTCGAGAGTTGCAGCAGCGAGGCCAGCTTCGTCTTCGCCACGTGGCCACTCGGGCCAACACTGCTGACATATTCACCAAGGCACTTCCGTCTGGTGATCATCAGCGCTTTTGTACTCTGTTAGGCCTTGTGCCTACGTTTCCACACTTGCTGTAGTCTCTGCTTGTACTGTGATCTGTACATATATATATATGCATGCTGGCTCTTGCTAGGTAGCCATCACTGTACTGTTATTGCTGCATATATATCTCTGCATGTGAACTGGCCCAGTGGCCCTTTGCTTGTGCTCAGAATGCGTGGTGACGTTGTGATCCACCCTGAGCTTGTTTTGCTTCTCTTGACTGGTCGTGTGACCCCTTGTTCTCCCCCACTTTGCCTATGGGGGTGTGTCAAACTATATGTGCTGCATATTGTCTAGGCTGTAGTGAGGTAGCCCATATGGGGTACAACCTAGTTAGGGTTTACTACTTGTACTCCTGCATCCTGTTAGTTCATCCATTCCTGCTGCTAGATTCTAACAAGGGAGTGTGGTCAGGGAGGGGAAGACGATAGGAGATGAGAGAGGAGGTGAGAAGGCAAGAGAGGGGGACGGGCATTCGAGCGACCTCACCGTGCTGGAATTGGAAGCGGAACAAATGACATGACATGACACGTGGTCCATCACACTCTCCACCACCAACATGCCCTGCACCTCGCCTGGCGCCCTCACTGTGCTGTGCATAGGCAGGTCCGTCCCGATGGGCTGGCAGAGGCAAGGGCGATTGGGAGAGAGAATGAGGGGTGACTGTCCCTTCCACGTCCTACAAGCCCCTCTTAGTTTCCCCTAGGGATCGCACACATTCAAATGCACACGTTTTGATTGTTGACCGTTCGACAGCTATGGAGGAGAGAGGAGAGTGGAAACGAGAGAGAAGGTAGGAGGGAGGTTAGCATAGGGCAAGCACGGAACGAGAGCAAGGGATATGACAGTGGTAGTGCAAGTGACGGTGGAATAAATGGCATGAATTTTTCCACATAGAAGTGAATGGAGTGAGCAATGCATGCAATGTGTCCCTTAAACGTGAAAACAAATATAAAGGGTTGCTAGACAATCCAAAAAACCTTGGAAGCTCCTTAGTGCAGCAGATTGGCCTATATGGGAGCACGGATGGATTCAGTTCGGGCATGGCCCATCTGCTGACTCTGGCTGATCGTTCCAGTTGGTGGAATCTGGCTGGATGCACGCTGCCGTTGTTATCACTGTCAGCTCAATCTCGGCGGTTGAGCTCCTCCTCAGCTGGCTTTGACCCGATCCGACCGTTCCTGCCATCCACACAGTCGACTCGACCCGACTCGACAAGCCATGGCAGTGGAATAGGAAGCGTCGTCGCGTCAGTTTTCGCATCCTCACCTCACCGCACAAGGCATCAACAAAAGGTCACCGCCGACTCGCGTAGCATTCATCCGCCCGCCCTGATCGCGCCATGCGCATTCCACCCGCCGACCTTCCCTCGAGGCGCCGCGCTCGAGGTCTCGGGCGTACAGCGGCGATTTTTCTTCGTACGGTTGCTTCCCGCCCACCTGACAGTTGGTGCTATCATCCGCTGCAGCTCTCCTTCCACGTGCGCCTTGGCGGGCGGGTGTTTCCGCTCGGTGTTGCAAGCGATCTGCCACTGCCGTGCGGACCGATACACACGTGCCATGCGCCATGCGCTATGCTCCCTGCTCCGCCTAACCTTGCCTCAGGCCCCCCTGCGCGCCGAGCCCCTCTGCCTCGCGCGGCAGAAGACGATCCACATGCCGCCGAGGGATCATCCGCGCGCGCCCGCGCTCTTCTCGCAACACGATTCACATCCTGGCATTGCGTGGGAGAGATGGGGATGCGCAGGGCGGTGCAGTCCGGTTGGCTCCAAGGACCGCGGACCCCGAGGCGACTCTTGAGTCGACTCTAGAGGCTCCAAGATCCGCGGAATTTGAGACGCCGCGAGGGGGCAGCGGGATACGGCGAGCTTTCCGTCTCCGCGTGGCGTTGACCCGGCGGAGCGACCGCCCATGGTTTTGGAGAGTCCCGGCCATGCCACGGCAAGCAGCCATCGCATGATCGCAGGGTTCAGCTCTGCACGATGGGGCGCACGGGGTGACGCGCGATGTTACTGGTAGGGCCAGCCAGGCCGGGCGGGCGGGGTGGGTCCCTGCGAAACCAAGTGGCGCCTCTCACGCGCTGGTAGCGCGAGTGCTAGCGAGATGATCCGCGGGCCACGCTAGGCGTCGCGGCTTATTATATTGCAAGAAATATCTCGAAGACGCACGGGCCTGTGCGTGGTTGCTCGCTCAAATGTGCTAGCTAAGATTCACACTCGGAACGCCCCTGCGTCCAAAGCTGAAGCAGTGCAGGCATGCAGGCATGGAGGCATGGAGGCATCGTGCCATGGCTCCTGTAAATAAACTCTAGTGCTGCGCATTCTGACCGACCACACCCTCCCTGGGCGCCAGTCTCCCCTCCTTGCACTGGCCTTGTCCGATCCGTGCCTCCCGCCGCCATCACCTCATTGGCTCTCGCTGATGGCTAGCGAATTTAGACTTTTGAGGTTGACTTGATTTGATTCGGGTACGCTGATAAACGTAGCCGCGAGTCCTAAGCCGGAAGCTAGACTCCTTGACTTCCTGGCGGAGTGTAAAATTCGCGCGTTCCGTGGACCAATCACAGCTGGATATTTTGATCAAGTCGCCCAATGGGAGGCGACACTGCGAGGGACGATGACGCATGCGACAGGGCCGCCGCCGTTGCCGCTACTGCAGGCGGTGCGGAGGAGGACAGCAGTAACAGCAACAGCAACAGCGGGTGTGGTGACGGCGAGGGCGAGGGCGATGGGGACGGCGGTGCGGCGGGAGATAACGAGCTGAAGAAGGTGCGCGGCCCTTAGCACCGCCAGGAGCGGCTCTTGATCACCTGTGTGCAGCGCTGCTGGCACCGCCACTCCACCGCCACCCCTTGGCGCTCAGGCCTTGACCTCTTCCCCTTAATTCTCCTCCCCCTTACGCCCATACCCCCTCCCCTCGCCCATCCCCCCTCCCCTCGCCCATCCCCTTCCCCAGGGGCTATGGACGGCAGAGGAGGACGCAATTCTGATGGAGTGTGTGCAGCGCTTCCGCGAGGGCAACTGGACCACCATCGCCCAGCGCTCAGGCCTGGCGCGCTCTGGCAAGAGCTGCCGCCTGCGATGGGTGAAGCACCTGAGCCCTGCCATCCGCCCGGGTCCTCTCTCAGAGGCGGAGCAGCGGCAGGTGATCGAGCTGCAGCGGCGGTTCGGCAACAAGTGGGCGCTCATGGCGCAGCACATGCCCGGGCGGTCAGATAATGCGATTAAGAACTTCTGGAATTCGTACCGGAAGAGGATGCAACGACGGGTGAAGGCTGCTGCTGCGGCTGCTAAGGATGGGGTGGGTGGGGGTGGAGGGGTGAGCGGGGGTGGTGTTGGGGAGGCGGATGGCGAGGCGGGGGAGAGGGAGGGAGGAGGGGAGGGGGAGGGGGAGAGGGAGAGGGAGAGGGAGAGGGAGAGGGAGAGTATTGGTGAGGCAGCAGCAGGGGCAGGGTGAGAAGGAGGAGCAGGGGTTGGCGCGTGCTGGTCAGTCCATGACCACGCCCGCAGCAGCAGCAGCAGCAGCAGCAGCAGCAGTAGCAACAACATCAGCATCAGGGTCAGCACCAGTAGCCACGGCATCTCCTGTATTTCTCGCCCGGTCGTCCTCACTGCCAGCAGCAGCAGCAGCAGCAGCAGAAGGGTCAGGTGGGTGTGGGGGCGCGGGTGTTCCCCAGAGCTCACTCCCAAGCGGCTGTGTATGCCACGAGTGGCGGCAGCAGCATCAGCACCATGCACACATCGTCACTGCACCCCTCGCCCATCCATCCCTCCCCACTGCACCCCTCGCCGCTGCTCCACTCCCCTTCGCTGCCAGCCCTCCCCCTGCCTGCACCCACGCCCCTCGCCTCCTTCCCCCATCTGAAAACATCCTCCTCCTCCTCCTCGCTGCTCACAGTGCCTCGCCCGCTCGCCTCCGCACCTCCCGGATTCACCCGCACACACCCTGTCGCTTCTGCTGCCGCTGCTGCCACTGCCGCAGGCCACACACCTGCTGCTCCGCTCCCTGCTGCTGCTCCCCTTGCCACGGCCGCACCGCCCGTGCCCATAGCTGTCCTTGCAATGGCGCCGAGGCCGCACCCGTCCTCAGACTGCCACGTGGCAGGCGTGGCGCCCTCGCCTCTGCTGGACCAGCTGAGCGCGCTCAGATGCATGGAGGAGCAGGGGGGCCCGGGGGGCCCTGGGGGACCAGCGGCGGGTGCCAGTGGGAGGGTCAACGGGGTCAACGGAGTTGGACGAGTGGGCTCACAGCAGCAGGTTCTGGGTGCATCCCCCATGCGCCTGCCCCTTCCGCGCCTGCCGCTGAACCAAGCTATGCCCATGGCCGCGTGCACGCAAGACCCCATGGGAGGTGCGTCCACGCAAGACCCCATGGGAGGTGCGTCCACGCAAGACCCCATGGGAGGTGCGTCCACGCAAGACCCCATGGGAGGTGCGTCCATGCGCAGAGCGCTCTCCTTCTCCACCGCCTCTCCCCTCACCGCCCTGCCCGCCACCGCCGCACCACGCTTCCCCACCATGCTCCCGCACACCGCTCTCACCACCGCTGCTCCCGTGAGCACACCGGCTCCATCTGTCATGGCCATGCCCGCGCCCATGGCCACGCCCGCGCCCATGGCCACGCCCGCGCCCATGGCCACGCCCGCGCCCATGGCCACGCGTGTGGCTGTTGCTCTGCGTGCGGGCGCGGGTGGGAGCAGCACGGCGTGGAGCAACGTGCCTGGGAGCGGCATGGGGTGGGGACAGTGTGTGGGCAACCCACCTGCCCCTGCAGCACACGCCGGCGGCAGTACGCTGCATGAGACAGGGGCAGTCTTGCCTGGCGGCCCTGCCCGTGCGCTCCTTGTGCTGCCACACGGGCAGCCACAGGCCCCACTGCTGCACGCGCCCCCCTCTCAGGCGCCTTTCAGTGTGCCGGGGGGCGCTGAGGCTGAGGCTGCTGCTGCTCTGTCGGGCCCTGCAGTGGTGGCGGAAGGGGGTGCGTCGCCCCTGCTGCTGCCACCACTGCGAGAATCCCTGCAGCCGCAGCAGCGTGGGAATCAACTCCAGCAGCAGCATCACCAGCAGCAGCATCACCAGCAGCAGCAGCGCCTTGCTGCCTCTCCCCTGTGTGGCAGCAGCGGGTATGCAGTGCAGGACGTGGCTCCTCAAGAGCGCAGCAACCCAGCTTGTAACGCGGATGGAACCCACCCTCGCCCCTGTGATGCGTGGGACTGTAACGGGGGAGCTAGCCTCATGTGGTCTGCTCAAGACGGTAGCGCTGCCTGCTGCGAGTACGGTGCAGGCGCGCTGGAGCTGCCAAGAGGCTCGATGGAGGGGCGGAGCCAAGGGGGAGAGATGGAGTGGGAGGGAGCTGGAGGGGTGAAGGCGGAAGAGGGGAGAGGAGAGGAGGAGAAGGGGGAGGAAGGAGACCAGGAGGAGCGGATTGAGGGAGAGGAGGGGCAGGGGGGGGAAGAGGGGGCGAGGGATGGCGGTGAGCTGCAGCGCCTGTGGCTTCCACCGTACCTGGACACGCCACAGAGCTCGTCCCCATGCGGTTCAGTGAATCTGGACGTGGTGGGGGCGGGCTTTGACGCGGAGATACTCGAGGCGCTGGCCGATGAAGTCACAGGTGCGGAGAGCAGAGGCGCACCGCCTGCCTCTGCTGGTGGTGGTGCGTTTGATGCATCTGGTGCGGCTGCTAGTGCTGGCACTGCTGGTGGTCCAGCTGCTGCTTGTGCTTCTGGGCAGGAGCAGCAGTCCGGCACACAGCAGCACCACCAGCACCAACACGAGCAGCTCAGGCAGCAGCAGCATGGGAAGGAAGTGGATGGCGAGGAGAGCCTGTCTGGCACGCTGTGCTCGCCGTCCACTGGTGCGTCGCCTGCCGGTGTGGCATGTGTGGGCGACCGCACGCCCATCTCCAAGCACTCCTCGCTCCCCAAATGCACTCCCGGCTCTGCCCGCCGCCTGCTGTTTTGCGCGCGCATACAGGAGGAGGAGGGGGAGGGGGAGCAGCAGAAGCGGGGCCATGAGGAGCGGGGGCGTGAGTGGGTGTGTGCAGAAGCACATGGTGGCGCAGGTGGCGAGCAGGAGCGTGGAGGGGAGCAGGAGTGTGGGCAGCAGGCGGTGCAAGGCATGGCAGGAGAGTGCTTGGCAGCGGGTGTGTGGGCGTGCAGTGGGCGCAGGGAGCGCGACACCGTGTCTCCGCTGCACCGCCCTGTCGCAGTGGCTGCGGCAGAGGCAGGTGAGGTGGGAGGGGGCATGGGGACTCGGGAAGAGGGCCAAGGGGCGGGTGGGAAGAGCAAGGGCGTGAGTGGGGAGGAACTTGTGAGTATGAGAGGAGGAGAGTCGGGTGTTGTGGTTTGTGCAAGGGGGTTAGAGAACGGATTGCTGGCTGGTGTGGTGGAGGGGTCTCTGTCTCTGCCCTTGCCACTGCCGGCAAACACACCAGCAGCAGCGGCGGCGGTGGTAGCAGTGGAGGCTGCAGCAAAAGAAGGGGACACGGCAAGAATGGAAGCAGCGGGGTCAAGGCATCTAGCAATTGCTGCTGTTGGAGACACAATCGCACCGTCAACAGCAATGGCACCAGCACCAGCACCAGCACCAGCAGCAGCACCAGCACCAGCAGCAGCACCAGCAGCAGCACCAGCACCAGCACCAGCACCAGCACCACCAGCAGCAGCAGCAGCAGCAGCACCAGCAGCACCAGCACCATCTGGAGCACTGGCCTTCTTTCCAGCCCGCCCGCACCGCCTATGGTCGCCTGCTCGCTCGCCCCTCTTGCCCCTCTCGCCCCTCTCCCCTACGCCACGCTGCCTGCCGCCTGCTGTGTTCCCGGGCATTGGCAGCATGGGTGCTGCTGACGGCATGGACGTCAGGGGGCGCGTGGGCGGGAAGAGGCCGCTGGGTGTGGTGCCTGCTGCATCGTGCCGCATGGGTAGCGCCGCTGCTGCTGGAGGTGGTGCTGGTGCAGTGGGTGCAGGTGGGGTAAATGCCTTGGGCATGGTGGTAGGTAAGAGGTCCCCGAGGTCTGTGGGAAGGTTGGGCAATATGCGGCGTGTGGGGAGCGTGGGAGGGATGAACGGGCTCGGTGGCATGGCTTGCTTGGTGGGTGTGGATGCTGCACGTGGGGCAGCAGCTGCTGTGGGCGGGGTGGGGACGAGTGGGGTGGTGGGGGCAGTGAGGAGGGGGCAGGGCATGGGGACGGTGATGAGGAGGCGGGCGCTGAGAGGCGCCTCTGCGGCCATCCTTCCCCTCCCTCTTGCTGCTGCTGCCCCTTTCTCTGTTGCTCCTCCACTTCCTGCCGTCCCTGCTTCTGTAGGAGCCGTTCCATCTTCGGTGCCTGCTGCAGCTATGCCTGCTGCAGCTATGCCTGCTGCAGCTATGCCTGCTGCTGTGCCTGGTCGGGCCTCTCGTTTTGCTGTGGCATCCACTGTTGCCACTGCAGATACAGCTGCTGAAGGTGCCACCGCCACTGCACCTCCCTTGCAAGCGCCCGAAGAGCCAGCAACAGCAGCAGCAGGTGACGCAGCAGCCCAGCAGCCGCCACTGCAGCTGCCACCTAATCCCTCCTTGTCCCATAAACCGCCTGCCCACGACACCTCCCACACCACTGCACCCCCCAGCTCCCATCATCCCACCCCTGCCCCAGCCCCAGCAGCAGCACCACCCCTGGCAGCAGCAGTACGAGCCTCGGAACCACCCCTTTCCCACCGGCGATTGCAGCAGCTGCAGGAGGCGAGGCGAGTGTGGCAAGCCATCCTGGACAGCCCACGTGGCATGTGTGCCGCCCTCCGGGAGTGCATGCCACCCGCCCTGCGCCAGGTCACTGCTGACGTCACCACGCCTCTGTTCCCGCTTCCCGCTGCTAACGCCATCATGCCGTGCGCTGACGTCACCAGCCCAATTGTGCTGGGAGAGATTGGGGAAGGGAGGGGAAGAGGAGGGGTGGAGGGGGGAGGGGCTGGCGGCGAGGTGGGGAAGGGAGATGTGGATGGGGACATGGCTGCTGCGGGGGATAGTGGGGATGGGGGTGATGGGGGTGATGGGGATGACGGGAGTAGCATTGACATGGGTGGCAGTGGCGGGGGCAACTCTGGTGGGGAGCGATGCGCGCAAGAGCTGGGGGCAGGGCGCTGGTGCGTGGGTCGGCTGGAGATGGGGCAGGGGGCAGAAGGGGAAGCGGTTGAGGAGGGCGAGGAGGAGGGGGGGGAAGAAGGGGAGGAGCGGGAGGAGGATGGGGAGGAAGAGGAGGAGGAGAGGGAGGAAAGGGAGGTGGAGGCTGTAGAGGAGTCGTGTGACCTTGAGAGGGAGATGGCGGGTGGTGGGCAGGAGGGCATGCGGGGAGGGGAGCATGAGGTGGAGAATGGGGATGGGGGCGTGGCTGGGAAGGGTGGGGAGTGCAGCACAGGCGATCGGCGGATGGAGGAAGGGTCGTGTGGGAGGGGCAGTGGCGTGGGAAGCCGTGGTGGTGGATTGCGGCAGCCGAGGAGCGAGGAGAGTATGGCAGCAGAGCAGCCATCAAGGAGGGCGGGGCAGCAGTGGGTGCTGGACGATGGGTTGGCTGCGGATGATGGGGTGGGTGGGGATGGCAGTGCGCACAAGCGCGTGAGACGCATGGAGGGCGGTGAGTGGAGGGCGCGAGAACAGGGCTGCTGGGCGCACCCAGTGGGGGAAGAGAAAGGAAGCAACGAGGAAGCTGCTAGTGGCGGGGAGGAGTGCAGAGAGCAGGGCTGGGAGCAGGGAGGAACAGGTGACGACGCGGCAGAGGGGGGAGTGGCACATGGGAAGGAGGGGGTGTTGGTGAGCAAGGCAGGCAGCAGTGGGGGGCGCAGCAAGGCGAGGCGGAGGAGGGGATGCCGCAGCCAGCGACCAATGACAGTTGAGATCCACCGCCCGTTCATGTGTGTGACACGCGTGGCGGGGAATACAGGCCTGCAGGCGGAGGGGAGGGGCGTGAGCATGCAGGAGGCTGCTGGTGGCGTGGTGGGGGAGAGGCAGCAGCAGCAGCAGCAGCAGCAGGAGGCAGGGGTGCATGGTGGGATTGAGGAGGGACGACCATACACTGCAGGCGTGCCCGCATTGCAGGAGGTAATGTGCGAGCAGCAGCAAGGGGAGGAGAACGGGGAGCAGCAACAACCGCAGCAGCAGCAGCAGCAGCAGCAGCAGCAGAGCCCGCTGCTGTATCACTTCCATGGTTCATCCCTGTTCACACCCACTCAAGCACCGCTGCTCACACCCTCCCTCACCTCCGCCTTCACTCCCTCCTTCACCCCGCCTTTCTCCCACCCCCCTCCTCTCACCTCCCCCCACTTCGCCTCCCTGCTCGGCTCAACACCACCACAAGCCCACGGCAATCCAACAGGCGTTAACCCCTCAAAGGAGGGGAACATGGAGGGCAGTCATGGCTTTGGAAGTGGGCACGAGGATGGAAGGGGGCATGTGCAAGCGCATGCGCATGCGCCTGGTTCGGGATCAGGAGTGGGGTCGGGGGGCTTGTTGGCTGCAAGCCCGCGGTATGAGAGTGGGTGGGTGTGGGACATGAAGCTTGATGCCCTCTCACCAGCCGCCATGGCTTTCCACTAGCGCTCACACGATTCAATCTGTATTGCCGTGAGCTGATACGCTGATACGCTGTATATCTGTGAATAATGCGACAAAGTAACATTATACGGTACATGAAATGTATGTGATACTTCTTTGTACTCAAGGTTCTGCACTTAGTGGGTTATCATATATTGGTACTATGTTGTATGTATCTGGGAAAATATGCCACTCGGAATCTTCGAGGGTCTCGATAATATGTATGGTAAAAAAATAACGCGTACGCCGGCCCTCAGATATCAGGATAATTTATCCTGATTCTCCTGAATTCAGGATAGGTGTCGTGTGCTTCTCCTGAAAAAACAGCATAAGGGAATTACTTGTCCTGTAAAATCAGTATAATGGTTATTTTGCGTACTGGAAACTCAGGATAACGCTGTAGTTTCAGCCCTGACGACTCAGGATAGTGTCGAATCTCGCCCTGAAGCGAGATGTATTGCACGAACAATCTCCTGGGTTTCGGGACCTAAAATACATACGGGCGAGCATCTCAGAGATAGGAGGCAGTAGGAATCTAGCTAACGATATACTGTATGAAGACTAGCGCTTCACCAACTACGCACTTTGCGCTGTTCCGTGCTGTATCATTGTTTATTACTATGCATTAACGCAACTTCCACTGCCTGCCATTTGCATTGCAGGTGCGCCCCAGCATTACACACTTCGAATGTGGAGACATTTCCAGCATTTCTATCCCCGCTAACATAACACTCGCAAAATACACAGTCTTGTACGAAATGTAGCACTGACCTGCCAGGATACGGTCAAATGTAGCACTGACATTTCAGGATACCTCACCCTGTGCAGCCCTGACAATTCAGGGCAAATTCTGATTTCCCAAAAAACTGCCCTGAGGCCTCAGTGTACCCCCAAACGAATCTGAGGGCCTGGCGTACGGTCATCTTAGAATGGGAAAGAATGGTGTCATTAGAATCAGTTGGGGTACACATCAGGGCCCTAGATATCAGCCTTTTTACGCTGATTCAGCGTCAGTTCAGGCTTTTTTTTTTAAGCCGGGATCTCACGTAGTCCAGCTGTTTTGTAGTTGGTGAATTGCGCTAGGTTGTGATTAGTTGACGAGGTAGAGGAGTTGACGAGAGCTGAAACGAAAGATGCGAAGCAAACAAAAACCGCTGGCTGCTTCCGAACCACCTAGGTACGGAAAACTGGTTGGGTTCCGAAGCTAGTTTCCCAGCGATGTGTCTAAGCTGCCGAAAAATCTCATGTACAGAAATTTGTTTTGCAATTGCTTCACGGGCAAAACGGAAATCAGTCGCACACTGAACCTCCAACCCAACCACTCAATTTCGCCTACAGAAACAGGGTGACTAGTTGGTCAATTGTTTTGCAGTTGACGCCAATGTCTCTTACTTGAGATCCTGGCTTTAAGGAGTAGGCTGAATCCAAAGTCTTTTGTTATGTACCTTGGCTGATTTTTCAGTGTTTTTTTTTTTTTTTTTTACCTTGGCTGTTTTTTCAACCTTTTTGTAGGAGTGTAGCAGGGCCCTTGCTAGGATTTAGGCCCATCTGAACCTCCCCCTCGAAAAAATCGTTTCGACTGACGGTCAAACGGGCAAAAAAAAAATTGTCTGATCTTTCAGACGAATGTTTAAGCTATGTCTGAATTTTGAGACGATTTTTTTTGCATGGTCTGATTGAGCGAACAATACACTAGTACTGTTGTATTTGTGAAACGCGAGGGAAGAGGGGTGCGAAAGTTCTTGATGGGAAGGGGGCTGGGCTGAGAGAGGTGCAGGGGACTCGGAATGGGAGGGAAAGGAGTGATGAACCAGGGCTGGGTAGAGGAGCGAGGATCGGGGTGGTGGCTGGTGGCGAGGGACTTGTTGGGGGTGCTGGGCCGGAGAGACGTGAGAGAGAGTTGAGGGAGCAGGGGAGAAGGAGAAAGGGGAGGAGGGGGAGGGGGGGGGGAGAGGGGGAGAGGGGGGAAGGGGGCTACAAACGGTACTTTTGCGATCAGATGAAAACATACTCGATGTCTGAAATATCATACGGATTATAATACGTGGTCCTTTTTTTCAGATGAAATAAAAACGCCCGTCTTATGGATCAGATGAAATAAAATTGTTAGTCTTACAAATCAGATGAAACGAAAAAAACAGGTCTGATTTTCAGACCATCAGACCATTTTGGTCTGATAACGAGAGCCCTGGAGTGTAGGCCGTGCACTCAGCCTTGTATAGGGGGTGCACACTGTAACTGGCATTACAGTGTAGGACTAGGCGAGAAATCGAAATTTCCCCCGCGCGGCACCACACAATCGTGTTGGTACAGCATATCCGACCAATCGGGGTTGCGCAGCAGGCAACGTTGGCAAGATTCGTTGGGCTTGACAGGTCATTGCAAATTCGCCCTGACACAGCAATTCGCACGACACAGTGTTCGCCCCGTCATAACACTTCAGATTCGCCCTGTCAGAGCAAATTCGCCCTGACGCCAAAATTTTTCCCTGTTACGGAAAGGAGATTCGCCCTGACACAGCAGATCTGCTGTGTCAGAGCTGTTCTGTAGCGAGGACCCTGCAGCACGCTGCGCCTCGCACGACACCACCACAAACATCCACCCCACCCCACCCCACCTTCTCTACAAACAGACACGCTACCGTATATGTTTAATTCATGTTTTAATGAATGTGCATGATCAGCTTAACTTTTACACCTCACGCTGAAAGTTCAGCCTAAAAAAAATGGGTTGACTGAATTTTCAGCCTAAAATTTTGTGGCCACACTGACTCACAGAGCTCCAACAGGGGTGGACGCTGATCAATCAGCGTGCCTCAAAACGAATCTAGGGGCCTGGTACACATAACAAACCCTAATGTTTGTACCCCACATGACATGCCTCACTAATGTCTATCACATTTGACACACCCCCATAGACCAGGGCTCTCGATATCAGGGTAAAGTGCCCTTTTTTGCCAAATCTGGCGGCCGCTTTTTTCCTGTTACCCTTTCCCAGGAAGGGTAATGGGATTTTTACGCTAGGCTAGAAAGTGTACGTTTTTTTGTACCCTTTGAAAAACAGTGTAAAGAACTTATTTCTCTGACTCTACATGGTATGATCACAATTATACTGATACCGAATGCTCCGTAGCGAGGCGAAACACTATACGAGCCCCTGCAAAATACTCCCATCAGCGAAAATCGAACACGCTACCTTACAAATTGAAGACATAGTCACACCAATTGAGCCACTAAATGTTGAACTGCAAATGGTCTTCGTCTTCTTTGGTGCAATAAAAGAAGTGTACCAGAAAAATTTCCCTGCCCTAACAGACTAACGGTTTCTTTACTCTGAATTTGTCAGGGAATGAAAAAATTTACCCTATGAATCAGGGTTGGGACTACCTAGAGCCCTGATTAGAAAAGTTGGCCCAAAACCAATCTAGAGCCCTGCCATAGACTAAGTAAGGGTGTCAGGCAACAACAAAGGCCTAAGGCCACAAGACCAGTCACAATGAAGCAAGGATCACGGTGGATCACAACGTCACCACACAGTCCGAGCACAAACAAGAGGCCACAAGGCCAGTCCAAGAGTTTACAAGTATATGTATATATATACACATGTAAATATATATACTACAAGCAAAGCAAGGTAAGAACACAAGACTACAGTAGACAAGAACCTATGTCAACGAGGCCTAACTGCACACAAAACCTGTGGTGGTCACAAGGCGGAAGGGCCTTGGTAGTACATGATGTCAATGTGCTTCACTCTGCTCTCCAGTCGAGGCTCTCGACACAGGAGAATCGCCGCCTTGTTGTCAGTAAACAAGGTCGGTGCAGAGCTCGGCCGCTCACCAAGGTCAGTGAGCAAGAAGGTCAACCAGCGCAGCTCCTGTGCAGCCATGGCTCCGGCGTAAATTTTGGCCTCAGCGGTAAAGGTCGCGACAGACGAGGACCGAGTTGACCTCCACGATACTGCGCCAGAGCCCAGGCTGAAACAGTAGCGTCGACCTCTTAGTCTCGATGTCGTCAGCGTAAGAGGAGTCACAGTGACCAGTAAGGACGACTCGCTGTCTCCCTCCAAGAACAAGCCCCATGCCTGATGTCGTCGCTAGGTACTTCGCCACCCTCACAGCAGTTGTCTAGTGAACAGGACAGTGTCTCCCAATCGCACCTGTAGTGGGGTAGCCCATATGGGGTACAACCCAGATTAGGGTTTCCTACTTGTACCCATCATGCTGCTAGTTCATCCATTCCTGCCTCTAGTATTCTGACATGGTATCAGAGCAGTAGGTCCGTAGGACCGTTTTTTTTCGGGCCCACCTACCGTTGTGGTTACTGAGCTGCCCCACGTGTTGCCTGTGCTGTGCCGCCCGCACGCGCCTTTCCTTGCCTGCGCTGCGCTGCCCGCGCGCGCCTTGCCTTGCCTGCGCTGTTCCGCGCACGCTCTACTCTACCTGGCGTCGGGCGCCCCTGCTGCTCATCGCGCCGTGCGCCCCTGCAGCCCGTCGCGTCGCCCGTCTGCCCTGCCTCTGCCCGTCGCGTCGCCCGTACGGGCTGTCCCAGCCCGTCGCGTCGCCCGTCCGCCCTGCCTGCCTGTCGCGTCGCCCGTACGGGCTGTCCCAGCCCGTCGCGTCGCCATTACGGGCTGCCTGCCCGTCGCGTCGCCCGTACGGGCTGTCCCAGCCCGTCGCGTCGCCCGTACGGGCTGCCTGCCCGTCGCGTCGCCCGTACGGGCTGTCCCAGCCCGTCGCGTCGCCCGTACGGGCTGCCTGCCCGTCGCGTCGCCCGTCCGCCTTGCAGCCCGCGCGTCGCGCCTCTGCTGCCCCGCGCGTCGCGCCCTACGGCAGCCCGCGCGCCGCGCTCTGCAGCCCCGCGCGTCGCGCCCTACTGCCCTGCACGACGCGCGCCCTGCTGCCCGCGCCGCCCAGGCCGAGTTGCACCGCCCTGCCCGAGCTGCGCCGGCCAATCCGAGCCGCCTTGCCCTACCCGATCCGCCCTGATTCTCGTGCTCCTGCT